TAATCCGCTAGATTTTTCAAGAAACGACAAGGAGCCAGGTTCTTCGACAGACAGTCGATCTCCAAACACTGCGGTACATTGTCGCCAAAGGAACTCATCACAAACGCAGCCGGAACGGGAACGTCAAAACCGGGACTGCCGGCCAGGTGCTCTTTCCACGAATGACTAAGTGGCGCATCTATGAGCAAAAACTGGAACCGTCAGTAAGATCGAGTAGGGTAGAGGTTTGCATAATCGGTTGCAGCATACACGAGATGCATCGACAAGTACAGTAAAATTAAACGCTTACGAAGCTAGCTGGAGTATTCCGTTCGTGGGTTGGTAGTCATACCGAAAACTGGATAAAACTATTTATACACAATGCAAACAATATGGTCAATTGGGTGAATGATCAATAATGATGTTTCGGCAATGTCTTACAGGCCTTCTTCCAAATATGAAGGTTGGTTGATTGACTTCCGAAGACCTACTGTCATTCGCAGCAGTTGGCACGTGTGGACCCAGAAAACCAGAAACGATAATAGTGCTGAGTCATCTGACAACCCCATATCTGTTTGCGTCGTGTATAAATAAAAAACTGTGCCTTATACATAAAGCTAACTGGACAAATAAACGCTTAAACGAAAGAATACCATTTTAACAATATCCTGAAGTCGCACGCTATGCTTGCAGGCAGAAGAGACTTAGTGTGAATGCCAAAATGCCCATTCTGCAAATACCTACCTTTCAGTCGTTCCATTTTGTCATGCAAAAATTAGTCCACCAGAGTCAATTATGAAACCATGGTCCCTCGACCTGAAATATCGAATGAGGATAGTTGCATTACCAACGTCGATGCACGATATCTTCCATGAAACGCACGTCAGAAAGGAAAGGAAACCAAAAGTATGGCCAAAACCTTTGTACAGCAAGTGATATTACATACTAAAAAACTGAATCCACTGCGACATACCGTCACGCGGGTGGATACCGGCGCTTGCTAAACAGTTGTGTAGTAGTTCCTGTTTGGCCGTCCCGCTTGCGGTGCCACGGACTTAGACACTTGCCTGTTTACCTCTATACTGTCCTGAATGTGCTGGAAAAATTTAATTTTTTTCCAAACCATAAAAAAATTAACCACAGAAACTACTACATCGCTCGTCATTGCTGTTTTCGTTTCTTCTACTTCCTGATCCTTGTATTCCCCATCCTTCTTTCACTTCTGCTTCTTCTCTTTATTCCTATTCATATGTTTAATATCAATGTCCCTGTCCATCTTCCTTCCACCCCAGCCTCTCTTTTTCATTACTCTTTAATTTTTTTTCGATCAACGGCATTTTTCTATTTACTCTTTGTCTTCCCTTTCCTGTTCCTTTTTTATCTTCTTTGTCTCATTTCCCATTTTTTTTCACAAACACAGCAACTGTCAGATGTTTCTACAGAGGCATCAGTCCAAGAGTCAATCTGCAGCGCTCAGAGTTGACTAAAAAGTCGAAGATATTCAGTTTCCATCCACGTTTTGTGCAGGCATACTTCTGACTGATCCACAGTCATTTACGCAAGCTTAAGTTCAGGATGTATTATACATGATCTCTAATCCGGCTCCAGCTTTTGCTCCAAAGGTTGCTTAGCCCCATGATTCTGTAAATATCTGCCGCTGTGCCCGAGGTGAAGAACCATGGGCAGTGAGCTGTGTTCGATCATCTCACTGAGGACCGAGCGGGGTTGTTTAATCGGTAGAGTAATGGATTCAGAATCGAAAAATTACGAGTTCGAGTTAATGCTTTGTCATCCATTTGTGACAGATGACTTAAAACTACCTTGCAGGAAAAAACAGCTGGTGAACGCTACAACGTTATATGCGAACTTTCCACGCGACTGTAGTAATTGCCCTAAAAATAAGGCACCCAAGGCCTACGACAGAGAAACAGAGATTTCCATCGCATCATAAGCTCCATGAAAAAAGAATGCCACGCACTGTGCCAAACCAAATGTGAAAAGGAATCTGGTATCAAAAAGGTTTCCAATTCTCCTCCTTTTACGTTCAGGAAGGTCGATTACTTGAAACCTCTGTTATGGCTAAATTTCAAATTTCTAAAGCTGATTCTCAACTAGAGGCACGACTCCATAGTTTCACTTACTGTCTTCTTCAGCACCCTTTAAGAATGCACCGATAACGCCTGGGTAACCTTCGTGGCGCAAAAACAACGCGGACATTGTCCCCTAAACTGTGACAGTGTCAACAACGACAGCGACGAGCGGAAATGAACGCCTCACTTTACTCCAGTAGTTGATAGCGAACGAAATCGTCCGCATTGTGACTGGGTGGCCCCGTATGAAATAGCCGGCGAAATAAATCCGACTTATGCTGTTGACTGTAGCATAGAGGTAGGCAAGTTGTCCGATGACGTTGCTGATGGTCAGCAAAAGGCTGCGGACGATGTCCTTCTGGTCGAACGAATTTTCTGAGAAAAAGTCACTTCATCGATCCTAGCCAATCAAGAACAACCGTTCAACACTGTTCTCGATACCTGCCGTGGACGAATCCTGCGACGAGCGAACCGTGCGGCCAAAACTGCTGGCGATCAAGTCGTGAGACATGCCGAGTGTTTCATACGAGCCGCCGTAAATGTCTCCCACTAACATGTCGATGTTTCGATGGTCCCCTTGCTCAGCCAGTGCCAACAGCGCATCGAAGCCCTGAAAATCACGTGGTCATGAGAAAATAAGAAGCAAGATTCAGATATAACGGTAGTTTCGCAGATTTATGAACTGTAACGCAAATCTCGTTGAAAAACGATTATGGTCTCCTTCAAGATTTACATTAATCAATTTTGCCGGGTTTTTCAGGTACAAGAATGAGAAAAATGCTTTTGCCGCGAAAAGGTTATGCATGAAAATTTGAAATTTGGAGTTCACTCTAAGTATTATCCGGAATTTCTATCCGCCTTGCCCATGAATCGTCATTCTCTGTACAGAGAAAAGACGGCCCTGTGAGAATTACTATATATACAACATATAGCTTTAAATCATCCTGTCTGAGTATACATTCAAAGCAGCTTCCACTATTAGAAAGAACAAAGGCCTGTTCGGACACCTGCAAATATGCCATGATCGGTAAGCATATTTACAGAAAAACAAAACGTGGTCCGATGGGTTTACTAGCTTACTGCTAGTCATTGATACTTCTGTTCGGCCCTGCCTAGTGATACGGTCTTGCATCCATGCACAGCAGATGATCAAATACCACGGAGCCGTGGCCTGCTAAATGGTCCCATGGGCCACTAGAAGCAAGGCGACGGTACTTACGCTGCTTCAATCCGGTATGAAAAACTGAAAAGGACAATATACCTTAGCAGCGGTATCAATAACTAGCAGTATGCTAATAAACCCATAACATCAGGTTTCATTTTTCTGCACAGAGGTCAATCATATTTGATTGCTATTATCATTCTTCGACAATTGACTGACTCAGGCTTAAGAACACTGATTCTCTAGTAAAAAGTCACAACCAGAATAAATAGGTTCCTACCAGGCGTGAGATTCCTTACTTTGAACATTGAGGCTTTCCAAGATTAGAACTCAAAGTTGGGTTTACGTTCAGCAACGTCAAACAATACCTTCGGTTATTTAGCGTGACAACGAACATGACAACCAGAAATCGACATAACATACCTTAGCTTCAGTCAGCAAAGAACCCAGTCCCCAGAACGTACCTCCGCCTAAGGACGTACCTCCGATGCGTTCGAATTTCACATCAGAATCGACCTAAAACAATCCTGCGTAAGACATAAAAGAGAACAAGGGTTTCGCTATCATCACCATGGAAATCACAGTGCCGAGGAAAATTATGCAAGTAGCTAACTTACATACACAGCGAGGTACAAT